TGTAGTTTAATACTTCAAATTGATCATTTCATTCTATTCATATGTCTATGTATGCTAGAAAAAATGTTCATGTGTTTATCTCTAGGTTTTGTGATATTGATGCATGTCTATGTGTGTTGATGCTATGAATCTAGTGATTGTCAAGGCATAGTACTTAAATTGATTACTTTTGTGGTTTGTTTGATGGTTCATACTCATTTCTTGATAGATTGTGCCTTTTCTTTAGTTTAATTAGTTTACTTTTCATGCCCCTAGCTTAGTTGTAGTGTAATAGCCTTACTTTCTTAGATAGAGGACAATCCATGCTTGTTGTTTGATGTTCCATGCTTATGAATGCAAGTAAAATATTTCTCTAATTTGATGATGTGTATTGATAATGGACTTAAAGGAAGGAATAATGGCTTAATTTGACATGTTGTGCTATTCACTAGTTTGTCTAGACAATGTATACTTATTTTGTCATCCATGCTTATTGATTCAATTAATGGCACACACTAGTATTGCAACATATAATCTCCCTCGTTCATTATACATTGAGTGTCTAGAAAGGTGATATTTAGTGGTGACCTCTAAGTCCAAAGATCCCTATCTTATATTTTCTACATTTTACTTTACCTCAATTGTTTTACCTTGCATTCATTTACTTACATTGTAGTTTAATTAACCAATCAAAATATCTTTGATCACTCGACTTACTAATTCGACCTTAATTTCTAAGCATAATACACTCAATTTCTCTTGGGACGATCCCTACTCACCCTAGCTATAATTATAGCTAGAAGTGGTAGTGGCAATTTCTAAATTTAAACTTAGCTATACTACACTCCATTTTGTGTTTCGTGCTAGGCGCGCACCAAGTTTTGGCGCTGTTGCCGAGGATTTGGCACCGTCGTATTTTGGAAATCAATTAGGAATTAGTACTCTTTTGATCGTGCCTTTATTTTGGTTACTTATTATGTTTGTTCTTGATTGGCTAGGTGCAAAGAGTAAGGAAAGTGAAGTGAAGGAAAATTCTAAAGCAAGGAGCAAGCAAAGCTAAGTAAGAGCATAAAAGCTCAAAAATAAAAAAATTTACAAAGCAAAGCAAAGCAAAGCAAAAATTGAAAAACAATTTGAAGTTGCTTAAGGACTCTTTGTAAGCTCTTCTAAACTCTTTCTTTAGTTAAATCGTGAGCCCACGTGGAGGCAAGTTTTTATTTTCTTAGATAGATCTTGAGCCGGCGTGGAGGTAATTTAATTCTTCTTACATATTGTTCAAAGCATGGGACTATGGGATCATCGTATGTGGAGGATTGTTGATTGTTGATTTGTTACGGAGGTGAAGTGTTTGCTAATTGCTAGTTTCTAGTTATTTTGTTTGTGTATGCATGGTCGTAGATTATTAAATCCTACTCTTGTCCCACTTAATTTGAATCTTGAATCCATTGTTCGTAATTCTAAGGGAAGGGGTAATTCTAGTCATTCCATTTCATCAAGGAAAGACATCAATGAGGATCATGTGGAGGACCTTGGTTACATAGACCAACAAGGTATCCTCCACCCTAATGTGCATCATGACAACTATAATACCCCTAGTTTTAAAAAGGATAAAATTGGGAAGTTAGTTTTAAATTTTAATTTTTATTTCATTTTTTTTTATATTTAATTATAGGACTTAGTTGTTTAAATTAATTGTTTTATTTGGTGAAATTATTTTGTGTGTATTTGCTTAATTTCTTAATTATTATGTAGGTGTTTAATTTAATTGTTGAGTTGAAATTGTTTTACTTTAATTATTTGATTAGTTTGTGGTTTTAACTGTACTTGTTTTATTTATGAGTTAATTTAATTATTTGATTAATTTGTGGTTTAAATGAATTATTTGTTTTATTTGGCTGTATATAGTGTAGGTTTAGGGTTTTTTTTTAGGAGGATTAGTTAGCCGTCATATAGCTAGTCGTGGGATTAGGATTAGGGTTGTTATAGAGCCTATATATATAAATGTGTAGTCTGCTAGGGTTCAAAACAAACCCTATTCACGTAATATTAACCTGTGAGGAAAACAAAGGCTCTGGGATGTAAAGAGAGATACATATTGAGGGTCTTGAGAGATTTATTAAAGAGTTGCTTCTGGATGAAACCATGAAGCAGTAGAGGAAGGGAACGGTGATCAGAGGAGGAAATACAGTCTTGGAAATTCTGCAATTTAGAGACGGCGAAAGGTTTCAAACTGAAACCTAGAGGCAAGTTTCATTCTCTCCTTCCTGTAAACTTATGTTCTGTGCATTCTTAATAGTCTCCAGGAACCTAATTAACTTTTAAAACAGACTGGTATGCATATTAGATTAGGTTGAAATCTGTTTGATGCTTTTAAAACTGAAACTGTGTTTTCTTGCATAAATTGCTTTGAATCGATTATAGTTTTTGTCAAGCAATGCTAGATGGAAACTGAGGAGTTGTTAGGACTGTGAGGGCTTAATTTAACCCTAAGTAGTTTAAAAACAAAGGGGACAGAAGGTTGAACCTCGCCGGAAACATAGATGATAGCCGAACGAAGCAGAGAAGACGCATGGAGTAGGGACGGCTCTCAAAGGGTGAGAGACGGCTCTCTAGGAGAGGGAGACGTCTCCTATAAGTGTAGAGCTGGCTCTTCATGAGGGAGAACCGGCTCTGGATAATGAAGAGCCTGCTCCCATGGGGGGGGGGGGGGGGAGCCAGCTCCCTTGAACAAATACCCCTTCGGGGTTTTTTTTGACATTTTTCTGCCCTTAGGGCCTTAAACGAAGTTTCTGGAAAGTAAAGGGGGTTCTAAATAATTAAAAATTTACCTATTAGAACCTTTAAACAGTGGGTTTATGTTAGGGTTTGATTCTTAGGGGCATCATGAACATAAACAATAGTAATGTGTATGCTGTTCGGAAGAAAGGAAGAGGGATTGACAGGCTAGTTGTTTTAGCAAAATTCAATGAACTGATATAACGGGTATTTTTGGGACTTTATATCAATGATGTCTAGGATATATATAAGTCCCAAAAGGGCTAGTTAGGTTGTTGTTGTGGTTGACATGTAAGTTTTTAATTATATGGTTGCATGTCGTAAGGAGTGAAGGAATTTTTAATTGCTAGGTTGTTTAGACCAGTTAAATGGATTAGTATAGTGTACCATTGGGGATTTAAATGAATGTACAGTTAGACTTCTCAGTGTCATACTATATCAGGCACAGGTTTTAAGATGGAGGATTAAAAGGATATCATGTGATGCAAACATTAATTCTTATGCCGTCAGGGATTGAGGAGGATTCTATTACTAGTTTTGTTTTAATGATTTAAATGAACTAGGATGAGTGTATGGTTTGGGTTGAATGATATATTGTGCTCAGTTCGTAAATTCTGATAATCATTATACTTTGCTATGGATGTTAATTGATGAACTGTTTTAATTTCTATTTTGTCATTTGGATGGATATGGATAAGTTAAATTGTTTAACATACTATAACAGTTTAATAGGAGTTTTATGATTATAATCACATACTGGATGCATGATAGAATCTTATAAATATCTAATTTCTATTATGTTGGTTTTGGATATATTTGATGTTCATTTGAGTGTGCATCATTTGCATGATATGCACCGGTATGGGACGGTGGCATACGGAGGGACGGATTAGATCAAAACGCTAATCCCTACTCATTCATACATACGGAATGGATTAAATAAAATAGTTAAATCCTATATGGATGCATGTCTTGTCAACTAAAACAGTTGAACGATATAATGGATAATTATTTTATTTTTCTGCACTAGGAATGAATTTATATATATACTTATGGTACCGTGGTACGAGCTTGAGTCTCCTGATCATGGTTAGGGTGCGTATATCGCTTGGATGGATAACTGGACCTAATGACGTTCCCTGGTAGGTCTAGGTATGCATGACTACGCTACGGCGTTTTGCATGTTACCTTCTACTCAGTTGTGATGACTATAGGTTAGTGAATATCCTATAGTGTGTATCTGTATCTATATGAACTATTTTAGATATTGCCGAGCTATCTAGGATGTATTTGCGTATCGGGTTTATGTACGGATTGTGGTAGAATGGAACTTGCATGTGGGCCTGACTCACTCTTATTTTTCAGGTGTTCGACAGTACCAGGCTTAGAGCTTGATCGTGTTGATGCAGATACAGACACTCACTCTTCTGGCTACATAGGAATTCTTTCCTTATTTAGTGTTGGACTTTGGTTTTGTATTTACTGTTCATTTTGAGTTGTTAGGGGTCCACTAGATGGATTCCCGAGTTGTACGGGTTGGAAGGATTTAAATGATATTAATTTATTATTTAAAGTTTGAGAATTTTTAGTTTAGATTTCTTTCAGCACATTATTATTTTATTATTAATTCAGTTTTATTCTTGCTTGTTTACATATTGATTGGCTGGTATCCGTCGGATCTGTGCTCGGACTTGATCACCCTTGGCTCTAGAATCGAGGGGTATCATAACAACATTCAAGTACTATTAGGCATGCCAAGACCATTCATTCCACCACAACAACAAGGCCATGTTCCACTGGGAATGCCTCGGCCAATTTTTCCTCCACAACCTCCCGTTGTTCAAGTTAATCAAGGTGCTTATGTAGCACCACCGGTTGTGAATCCTCTTATTGCTTTGCGTGACCATTATGTGACAAATGAATATAATGCACTTACATGCATTCAATTACCCCCATTTAGAGCACATCATTATGAAATTAAACCGCAAACTATTCAAATGCTTCCTAACTATCATGGACTTCCAAGTGAAGAACCTTACAAGCATTTGGATGAGTTTCTTGAAGTGTGTTCCACCGTGAAATACACGGACATGCCGGAAGAGGTTTTGAGGCTAAAACTCTTCCCTTTCACCTTTAAAGATAAGGCAAAATATTGGTTCAATTATCTTAGACCTTTTTCGATAACTTCTCGGGCAGAAATGTAACAAGAGTTCTTGAAAAAATACTGTCCGGTTTCAAAGACTAATGCAATGAGAACCTTAATTCGAGAATTTTCTCAAAGGGATGGGTAATTCTTTCATGAGGCATGTGAGCGCCTCAATGACTTGCTTAGGTAGTGTCCACATCACGACATTTCTAAATGGCAATTAGTGCAATTTTTCTTTAAAAGTTTGTCAGATAATTTTAAAGGAATGGTAGATGCTTCCATGGGTGGTTCATATCTTGATAGGCATGAGGATGATGTATGGTATCTTTATGAAAGCATGAGTGAGAATTTAATGCATCGATCCTTGTCTTCCAAAAATGGTAAAAATCTAGGTGGAAGGAAGAACGTCGACTTATATCAAGTTGACAATTCCAATGACATAGCCGCTGAAGTCAAGTCTTTATCTCAAAGGTTTGATTATTTTTTTATCAACCAAAATTTGGTGAATCAAGTGTCTTCCTCCCCTAATCATTCTCATCATAATTCTAATGAATCTTGCATGACTTGTTCTAGTATCTTACATTCTACTTCCAATTGTCTCCATGGACATGTGCAAAGTGAGAACCATGAATAAGTGAATGCCGCATTTGTTAACCAAGGGAATAATCCCTATGGCACACATTACAATCCCGGGTGGAGGAACCATCCAAACTTCTCTTGGAAAAGTCAAGGGAAAGGCTCAAACCCTCCCCAAGGTTATAGATCATCTTTTCAATCATCACATAGAAGCCAATTTTCTAACTCTCATTTTCCTAATCAATCATCTTATTCTCAAGGAAATTCTAGGAGTCCCGCTTTTGAGGAAAAAATGCTGATTGTTTTGGGTATGTTGGAGGTAAATACCCAATTACTTCATTTCCACTCTAAATCTATTGCGAAGCTAGAAACCCAAGTTGGGCAGATAGCTAGTACCTTAAATGCTAGAGGAAAATGGAAGATGCCTTTGAATTCACTTCCCAAGCAACAATTTGCTGTGGAGACCAATTCCTCATTGGAAGGTCACACGATTGAGCATGTTAATACGGTGACGACCTTGAGAAGTGGAAAAATTGCTGATAATCAAGTTGGTATTCAAAATGAAGAGAGTGAACCGGTGCAACTAAAAGTTGACACCTGTCCCATCTCACATTTTATTCCTCCTTCATTGCATGTGCATGATCCTTTTGTTGACAAAGTTTTGAAAAATGATTTGAATTTTTTTTGTGTTGAAAGTAATTCCAAAAAGGATTTTGAAAAGGTTTATGAGCCAAAGGCTCCATTTCCGGATGCCTCAAAAGAATTCAATTCTTTTGAAAAATAACAAGGCAAAGTGAATGAAATCATTGAAATGTTTACGCAAGTGAAGATTAATCTTCCTCACTTGGATGCAATTAAACAAATTCCGGCATGCGCCAAATTTTTAAAAGATCTTTGGACCTAAAAGAGGAAGAACAAGAGCCAAACACCAAAGAAAGTTATCTTGACCGAGCAAGTAAGCTCCATTTTGCAACACAACACTCTTCTAAAATTTAAGGATCTCGGTTCACCTACTACTTCTTGCATCATTGGTGACCATCTGATTAACCGAGCTCTTCTTGATTTATGAGCAAGTGTGAACCTTCTTCCATACTCGGTGTATGTTCAATTGGGCTTAGGAGATTTAAAACCTACGTTGGCGATTTTGCAACTAGCTGACCGATCCATCAAAAAGCCCCCAGGTATAATTGAGGATGTGTTGATCAAAATTAATAAATTCTTCTTCTTGGTCGATTTCGTAGTCATAGACATGGAACCGGTCGCAAATCCCAAGAGCCAAATTCCGGTTATCCTTGGCCATCCCTTCTTGGCAACCTCTAATGCCAATATAAACTATAGGATGGAGATAATGAAAATTTCATTTGGGTATATGAAGGTGAAGTTGAACATATTCAATCCAACCCCCAATTCTTTGGACAAACATGAAGAAGTTTGTGTTGTTGAAAAATGCATTGAAAATGAATGTGAAAAATTTGAGTTTTTGATTGATATTGAGCATTCCCGTGGTTTGCTTTCCAAAAAGACTTCGAAGAAAAATGTTTTCAAACCAAATATTAAAAGGGTATGAAGGCCCGCGAGTTGCTTTGACAAAGGACCATCAATCTCTTTTGAATCAAATCCAGTGAGTTCTTTAGGGAACAATTTGTTGGGTAGGGTTCAAAGTTCTTTTCACCCCGCTAAGGAGGGAATGCACAACAAGATTTTTGATCCGAGGTAAAAGAGCCCAATATCTTGCTAGAGACATTAAACACTAGTGATTCATAGGGTTTTTAACCATATTCCTCCCTCATTTCTATTTTACCTTTCATTTTTTGCGTCGTCTAGATATATTCTGGGATCATACACATTGTTTGAGACTTTGATAGGGAATGCTTGTGTTTTCATTTTCGAATTAGACATTTAGTGTTTATTCGATCGATCTGAGAAGAAGTTCGATCGATCGAACAATTATCCCTGCATATTCCTATCTTTCTGTCCCATTGTGCGAAAATCTCTGCATGTTTCATCACTCTGTGTATCGTGCGAACTCTATTCCTGATCGATCTTAGTCTTTTCTTATTGATCAAGCTTTCCTTTAGATCAAACTGTGTTCCATACTTAGAATTTTTTTTGAAACTCTAGAAAAATCACCTCTCTGTGTATCGTTTGAAGATCTCTGCAGGTTTTCACCTATTGGATCGATCGAGCTCCGATCGATCAATCTTCGATCAATCTTGACTTTGACTTCTTTTTGAATTTCAACTTTCAAAAATTTTCAAAAATATTTTCTAGTTTATAAAAATAAAAATAAATAAAAATAATAATTTCCAAAAATCCAAAAATATTTTTAATTTTCAAAATTTTTAAAAAAATTTCAAAAATACTTTGCCGTTTTATGGGTTCGATCTATCTGATCACCTTCATTCCACATTCAGTGTCTAGGAAGGTTATGTTTAGTGGTGACTTCTAAGTCCCAAGATCACTCTATTATATTCTTTACATTTTACTTTACTTCAATTGCTTTACCTTGCATCCATTTAGTGACATTGTAGTTTAATTAACCAATTAAAACATCTTTGATCACTCGACCTACTAATCCGACCTTGATTTCCAAGCATAATACACTCCATTTCCCTTGGGACGATCCCTACTCACCCTACCTATATTTATAGTTAGAAGTGGTAGTAGCAATCTCTAAATTTAAACTTGGCCACACTATACTCCATTTTGTGCTTCGTGCTAGGCGCGCACCAAAATCCAATCCTTCTTTAACTGCAACATCACTATCTCGATTATAGTCCAAGTACTATTTGATACATGCAGAATAGTAATGGCTTTCAGCCCAATCTAACAACATCACATCTTTAGTCTAATTTCAGCCCACTTATAGTTCAAGCACACAACTTTAGCCCAATTCTAGCCCAATTGTATTCCAAGCCCAATTACCAAAATGAGTGTCAACACACACAAGTTTTTACATCATTACATATGTATAGGAATCAACTTAGGAGAGAAGAAATAATTAAAAGGGCACTTTTGTCATATAAATTTATTTTGTAATTTTAAGAATATTAACCAATTAGGAGTGGGACTGTACAAAGACATTTGCATGTGCGATTGCAATTACTACTCTTATATATATATATATATATATATATATATATATATACTAGGAAAAGACATGTGCGTTGCACATGGTGAATGTTTTGTAACTCATCGAATTTTTTTATATATTTTTTAATTGTTTATAATTTTCGTTGTATGATATTGTTAGATATTAAATGAATTCATATCAACAATGTTTAGAGAGTAATAATGGTCATCTCAAAAGAAACAAAATAAGGTTTCCATTGATGAATGAATCATCCTAAGTATGATAAATTAGAAAATCTGAAAGAGTACCAACAATGTTTAGATTGTGATAATTGTCACATCAAAAGAAATAAAATATATTAGAAAATCCGAAAGGTACTTAAAAGGTACCATAAACTATTTAAAATTATAATTTTATGAATTCCTAAACTATAACTCTTTGAAAATAAAAGTATTCATAAATTATTTATTTATCAATCTTTATCTATTTTTTATAACTCATTTCTTCATGAAATGAATCATTGTCAAGTGTTAATTCTTTCAGTTCTTTTAATTATAGTTTTATAAAAACTCTTTTTATAAAAACTTTTTTTATATTAATTAATAAATATTTTTTTATATTTTGTGTTGGAATTTTATAGAAACTCTTTTAATAATAATATAAGGTAATTTGAATTTTATTAGGCAATTTTTAGAGTTTTTTTTTTATTAATAATAGTATAGATTTTTTTAGAAATAAATAGATAAAATAGGTAATTTGAATTTTATTAGGTAATTTTTAGAGCATTATAGAAACTTTTTTCCTATAAAAACTCATTTTATATTAATTAAAAAATATTATTTTATATTTTGTGTTAGAATTTTATAGAAAATAGATTTATTAGGTAATTTGTAATTTGAATTTTATTAGGTAATTTGAAAATGGTGATTAATTTTATTAGGTAATTTTTAGGATTTTATAGAAACTCTTTTTATAAAAACTCTTTTTATATGAATTAATAAATATTTTATAGTTTTATAGAAACTCTTTTTATAAAAAATATTTTTATATTAATTAATCAATATTTTTTTTTATTTATATTTTGTGTTAGAGTTTTATAGAAACTCCTTTAATAATAGTATAGATTTTTTTATACTAATTAGTAAATATTTTATAGTTTTATAGAAACTTTTTTTATAAAAACTCTTTTTGTAATTTGTATTTTATTTGGTAATTTGAAAATGGTGATATTTTTACATATTTTGTGTTAAAGTTTGATCGAAACTCTTTTAATAATAGTATAGATTTATTAGGTAATTTTTAATTTGAATTTTATTAGGTAATTTGAAAGTGGTGATTGATTTTATTAGCTAATTTTTTGAGTTTTATAGAAACTCTTTTTATATTAATTAATAAATATTTTATTTATAGAAACTCTTTTTATTAAAACTCTTTTTCTAATTTAACTTTATTAGGTAATTAGTGTTTTATAGAAATTAGATTTATTAGGTAATTTGAAAGTGGTGATTGATTTTCTTAGGTAATGTTTAGAGTTCTATAGAAACTCTTTTTTATAAAA